AGCTTCGTGTCCGCGGAGCGTGTGAACGTTGTGATCAGCAATTTTAGCGCAGGGCTGCTAGTACGTCGGTACGCAAATGGGCTTTGTGACACAAGTGACGGTACGCATTTCAGATTGTTGCCGTGCATGCGTACCTGCCTACCAGTTATGTGCACCCCTGAGTATATAGGCCCACTTCACTTTCACCTCAGTGCCAGATCGTACTTTGCAGCATGCCAGTCTTTCCCGCATTATCTTCCAGATTGCTCTCCCGGTTTCGACCCTGCCTGTCCCTGACCAGCCTGCCTCGCCTGTTTCCTGACCCTGCCTGTACCCGGACTATTCTGCCTCGCCTGCTCCCTGACCCGGTCTGTACCTGCGACTCCCATCTTGCTTTCTCCTGGAACCCTCGCCTGTCCCCGACCTGCCCTTTGCCTACTATCTGCCGTTTCGTCTCCTACCAGCCTATTGCCTTTAATAAAGCTGTTTACCGACTATCCCTGGTTTCCCGTGTGTTGCATTTTGGTTCTCAGCTCGTTTGTGACACAAACTAATAAGGCTTTATTTAAACATTAAAGAATACTTTAGGTTAAGGCAGGGGTGGGCAATTATTTTTTCCATGGGGCCACATGAGAAACTGAAAATATTGTGGAGGGCCGGGCCAAAAGGCTGAACTCAATTCTGCATAATATTAATTGTATTTCTTTATAAAAAGCAGTAAATAGCATTGTTTTGACAAGCTGGTAAGAGTATATGTTATAGTTAAGCAATGAAAAAGTGAGGTTGCCTTACAAAAAAATGTCATTTATTAAATCAAATTTCCCAAAACAATGGTAAACAAAATGAACGTTTTTCACCATTTGTGACTCATATTAGTGAACATTTTCAGTCACATTCACTCAAACACATTTTGAGTTTCATTTACTGTTGGAAAGAGGTTCTTAGCATTCTAAAGACATCACAATATTGTCTTTGTACTCCAAATATTAAGCAAGATACATCATATTGAACTGTCACTAAACATCACTGAACTGTGATTTTGAGAAAAAGGCTTCCAAAGAAAGTGTCCCAGTTCACTGCTAGTTGGTGCCTTTACATGCCAACATTTGTAGTCTAACCACCTCATTTGGTGTTTTTAAGTTCTCTTTTCTTGTTCAGTGAGAGAAATCTAGTCTCTGCTGGGCTTTAACAAGTGCATCAAAGTCAGGTTGAATGTCTGAGGTGGAGATGCGAAGCACAGCTGACAGATGATCATCAGTGAGAGAGGATCTATACCTGGATTTCGTAAACTTCATAATTGAAAATGTTTGTTCACATATGTAGGTCGAGCCAAAGAGAACCAACATCTTCTGAGCATGTCTCCTCATGTTTGGAAAGTTCTCCTCCTTGAGAGAAGAGTAGAAATCCAGCAGAGATCCTGACTTAAAGTGCTCTGCCAGTACTGCATCAGACTGCAGGTCGATGAGTTCCAGCTGAACATCACTGGGTGCATTATCCACACTGCAGGTAAAGGGAGAGGAAATCAGGTGCATTTCATCCTCGATTTTTCTGAGATCTTCAAATCGCCTTGAAAACTCACCATGCAATGCTCCCAACATGGATGAGTACCTGCGGAGGTGATCAGCTGATGGTGTGACTTCTTTCAGGGTTTGCATGTGAGTGAGATTGTTGCTCTCCAGTTGGCTTGAAAGAAACTGCATCTTTGTCATGAAAGCCTTCACCAGGCTGTGCATTTCATGAACAAAAAGGCCCTTGCCTTGCAGTTTGGTATTCAGTTCATTCATCAGTGCAGTCACATCAACAGCAAATGCAAAATCTGCCATCCAGTCCTCATCTGAGAGCTCTGGGAAGTCTTTGCCTTTCTTCTCACAAAACTCTCGAATCTCTGCTTTCAGGTCCCAAACTCTTTTTAGCACTTTGCCCAGGCTGAGCCATCTGATAGCTGTGTGGTAGCCGATGTCACGATGCTCAGTCTCATGCTCCTCCAAAAGTGCGATAAACTGTCTGTGGTTCAAAGCTCTTGCCCTGATGAAGTTTACTATTTTAGTAACAACATCAATAACATGGTTAAGTTTTAGCACTGACTTGCACAACACATGTTGGTGTATAATACAATGCAAAAAGACCAGTTTCTGATCCGCGTCGATTTCAGTCACTTTATCTTGCATACGTTTCAAAAGTCCGACATTTTTTCCGGTAAGATTTGGACAACCGTCCGTTGTGACACCTGCCAGTCTGTCCCATTTCAGTCCCAGCGTGTCCATGCACTCGTTTACCTCCGTGAACAGATCGCTCCCTGTCGTCGTCCCTTTCATCGACCGCATTGCTGCCAGCTCCTCCGTAATCTTGAAGTCCGGTGTTATCCCGCGGACGAATACGAGTAACTGGGCTGTGTCGCGGACATCACAGCTCTCGTCCAAAGCCAAGGAGAAAAAGTCGTAACTTGCCACTTCACGTTGCAGCTGAAGCTCCAGATTCCCCGCAATGTCCTCGATCCTTCTAGTCACGGTTCGCCTGCACAGCGGGACTTGCTCAAATGCGGCTTTTTTTTCAGGGCATATTAGTGCTGCAGAGTCCACCAAGCACTCTTTGACAAACTCCCCCTCCGAGAACGGCTTACTGTTTTTAGCAATTTTGTGGGATATCACAAAGCTGGTCATGGTTGCTGCATCACTGGATGTGTGAAGCTTGGTAAAAAAGCCTTGCTGCTTTTGCAGCTTAGCTAGCAAAGCTTCCGATGTCCGCGCCCTTTCAGCGTCAGTCAAGTTTTTATATTTCTCCGCGTGTTTCGTCTCGTAATGTCGACTCACATTGTACTCCTTAAACACGGCGATCTGCTCCCCGCAAACTAAACACACGGTTTTACCTCCGACTTCAGTAAATAAATACTTAGCAGTCCAATTTTTGTTGAAAACCCTGCATTCAGCATCTACCTTTCTTTTTTTAGCGGACATTTTTTTGAGGGCTAAAGTCGTCTTGTGACAAGGATCCAATAATGTGCACGTCTTGATATACGTATTGCGTCATTATGCACGTGAATAAAAAACAACTTCAAAATAAAAGCAATGCAGCTTTAGTCCATGCATGAGGTAAAGTTAGAAAATATGTTTATTTTGTAATTTCCAATTAGCCTTACACGGGCTGGTCAGAGTCAACCAAAGGGCCGTATGTGGCCCGGGGGCCGTACGATGCCCAGGTCTGGGTTAAGGTCTTCTTTTGAATAAGAAAAAAGCTTTGGGGGTATAGAAGATGAATATTTGATGGTCACACATGCAGAGCACACAGCACACACAGTGACATTTGTATCTACAGATAAATATTAAGCCTGACAAAGTACTTAACGTCTAATATATTGCTTTCCTGCAATGTTAACTATGTTTAAGCACTTATTTTAACTGATATTATACATATGTATTATACTCTTATAAGATGTATGTAGATAGTATAAGAAATGTGCAGAATATGACAATGTAATGGTGGAGGTACACACATATTGATAGATGTCTTGTAATGCACTGTTGAGGAACCTGCGACCCAAGTTTTTCATTCATTGCATAACTACACCGTAGTTGTGTATAATATGATATGTCAATAAACCTTAGAAAATCTTGAAATCTTGAAAGGGATGTGCAAAATAGTCATTATATACAGTCTTTAATTAACTATTAGTAGAGAATAACGACGAGCAAAGAATATACTTTATAGGGATCCTATTAATATCTAATAATAAAATTATAAAATGCAATAACGTGCTTTAACCAGTAGGTGTCCCTTTCTATCAGCTGTGCACCGTTATGGCGTAAATACAGCCTATCTACCAATTGGATCAAATATAAAAGTCAGCCGAATTAGTTTTGATACTGCAAGGAGACGCATTGTGTGAAAATAAATGTAAGATGTTATATATATTTAAGATCCACGTCAAGTTTTCAGTTTTGGCGGCAGTTGTTCCTGTTTGTCTAGAAGTCTTCTCATCAGGGCTCTATAAATAGACAACTACGGCAGAAATATTTAATGTAGCCGAAACGTGTATTACAATGCCGTTATGTAATGACTTTCAAAGAGAAAAGCAAGCACACTCGGAATAATGTATTATTTAATTTTTTTTTAAATGTTTTCGGATTTCACATCGCATAAACACCAAATCCCAGCGTGCATAGCGGAATATCAGTATGAGAAAAACGGCATCATCTGTCCTTTGACCCTCACATCGTACAAGGAAAAACTTCCAGAGAAAAACCCACAGTTAATATACACACATTCCTTCACATTTACATTTTAATTTACATGAAAGTATTTCGTGAGGCCTTCTAACATGTTTTTAAATATAACTACGGTTGTAGATGAAGAGTTTGTAAATTAACATGAACCGAAGCTGTTGCCTGTTGCAATATACAGTCTATGGTCGCTACAGAGGATTGTGGGTAATGTAATGTCTTCGGCCATCCAAAACTCATAGAAAACTACTTGTTTCTCAGAATTGAAGGGGAAAACGTGACAAAAGCATTGTACACTAAAACCTATCAATGTTGTGTAATTAACAAGGTGTCTGGTGTTTTTGAGTTGATGAGTAGTGGAGATATCACTGTCAAATCAATCGACAGTAAGGGGAATACTTACTTCCGGGTGTACAATTCTCCGTTATCCAATGGGAATGGACGCTCACATTGCCTTTAACAGCCTCCGACACAAACGAATGCCGTGCTTCTATGAGCGTCAAATCCCGCCGCAGATGGGAATACATTGCAATCAGTTTAAAGCTATTTGCGTCTGTTTATGAAGCTGAAGGAGCCTAGGAGCGTCCCAACTGCACGCCTCGGGACCCTGACAAAGCGTTGCTCCTGGATGCTTATGGAGTGAGAGTGTGTTGGCTGAACAGGAAGAGGAGGTGTTCATCTACATGCATGTATTTCACTCTGATGCTCAGTCATTCAGCAGGAAGTCAACATGGAGGTCACAGCTCTCTGCTTCACACCGTGTGAGTTTGATATATTCCAGTTTATAGACTAATTAATAAAAGAGATAAGTCAAAGTCAACTTTATTGTCAATCTTCCAGTTGTGTGTACAGTCAGAGAGATCGAAATACCGATAATGGTTAATACTCAGTTTTCTTCCTTTGTCTGTTCAGTGATGCTCATTATCCTCGGTGCACATGTTCAGAACAACGGTAAGCAGGACTTTTTACACTAACTGTGCACATTGAGAGGGAATATCACTACGGGCTGCATTTGTATTGATAACTTGATTTATGTCAGACTTTTCCAGTGAGTTTTTATATTTGTTTTTCAATCAGAAGCAGCTTTCCGTATCGTTCCAACCCGACTGCAGCTCTTTGAAAAGGAGTCTGTCTCCTTTCACTGCGAGGGTCTCGACGGCTCCACTTGGTTGAGAGGGATCAGGGATGCTGAGGAGTTTATTTCCACTTGTAGTGAGAGGACCCCCGTACTATATTGTACCATAGGAAGTATTTGCTGGTGTGAGGCTGACGGAGGAGTTTTTTCTCTGCTTCCACACAAAAATTAAAATCAACAGAATGCAAACAGCCAAACTGACGGCCAGACCAGTAATGACAGGAGAAGAACTGGACTGGAACGTAAAGAAATCATCTGAAATGATAAAAAACAGATCATCACTGCATTTATTTAAAAATGGACCTCAGTTATTGGAGAATAAAATGTGAAAAAACATGTAGTCTACCTGAAATGCTGAAGTGTGTCTGTGTGGTGCGGTTGGTGTTCTGGTGCTGCACTCTGCAGGTGAAGCTGTTGCTGTGTCTCTTCTTCACAGTCACTCTGCTGCTGACAGTATAGAGGTAATCAGGACCTCTGACTGTCTCTGTAGGTCCAGCAGAGAGGAGCTTTCCCTCAGCGTCCAGCCACAACACCTCAGGCTCCGGATACCAGCCTGCAGACTCACACTGCAACACCACTCCTCTGCTGTGAGCGTCCAGCCCTGATAAACTGATGAGAGGCGGAGAGGAAGGACCTGAAGCTGACACAAGAGAAACGTTTATGACAAGAGTGTCAGTGGGTGAAAAATACTGACACTTTGCACAACAATTAACAATGTCAAAATTAGCAAATTGAAATATTTGCAAGGCCAATAACTAACAGAAAATTCACATTGCCCATTCCTGCATAAATGCATATTTTTTAACTGGATTTAATTCTGCCCATTTTTAAAAGCTGTCTGCCACATTTTTGCCGCTAAATGAGTGTGTGTGTTAGGAGCTCCATGGATTGGTCCATTTGGACCAATGAGTCCATTTGGGTCGTCGTTACGTCACTTAGTACCAGTAAGAAAAAGAGAAATCTCCAACGAGGCGTTCTGGGGCAGCATAGGCAGGTATTTTCTGTGTTAGAGTTTTACTCGCTACAGGGTGTACTTTGAGGGTTTGTGACTTTGCAGACCGTTTACATGCAGAAAAACCTTCATAACACACAAGGGGATGGGTAATAACCGGAAAAGCATGACATGGGAGCTTTAAAACCATAGAAATCAAGTACCTGACAATCATTTTGTCAATAAGCTTTCTAAATCAATTCAGTTTTGCAAATAATCATCGTACAAATATTGAAATACTGAAATGTTGGTAACCATGAATAACACTGACTCTTTGCCGTTAGGTTGTTCTAAATGTCTTGAAAATTAAATACTGCATCCTTGACAAAGCACACTAAACTCCACCATGAACACAAACTGTGAGTGTACTTACCAAAAACTAGCTTAACAAACGAATGTTCATACTTTAGAGGAATATCACATGTATACGTTCCCAGATCAGAGAGTTGTACTTCGGAGAGTTTCAGTGCAATGTTTCCATGCTTCAGCTCATCTCTGAACAGCGAGGTTCTCCCTTTGTAGGAAGGATTTATGTCCCTTTCGAATACCTGACCAGCACGCCACACATTGACAAATCTTGGGTACACGTTAGATTTCGTCCACTCCAACGTGTCTGCAGTAACATCCATCTCAGGCTCCAGGTGACACGGCAAAATCACATCTTGTCCAAGTGTTGCCACTATAGGCTGAGGAGGACCGATTAACTGAGACTGACCTGGAGAGAAATGGATGGGTTTTAATAAAGTTTGGTTTATTTATAACATTTAAAAAGTATTGCTCAAAGCTGTTGAGATAAAGTTTAAGACCCTATTGGTGAGCTTTACTAAAGCGTATATTGCTTAATCGTCTTTTTACTTTGAGTTTAAATCATCTCTTAAAGCCTCAAAACTGCATTTATTATTATGGGACAGGCTTAATCATTGATACAATATATATATAAGGAGAGATAAACTTTGCTTATTTATTTAATGTATTAAAAAGAGACCTTGTACAGTTTAAAACATGAATGCCACCATTTTTAACTGTCACTAAAGCAGTTTGTAGCTTTTAGAACTATGCAATCATACAATGCTGTGGTAGAGACCTTTCAATCACAAGGAAGCCCAGAAGCATAGCCTGCTTTTCCGTCTATTTTACTGACCATCATAAACCAAATGAACATTATGCTGATTAAAGAACAACCTAAAGCTTGAGACAATAAAGTCATTAGGAAAATGTTCACTGAGGTAATAAATCAAGTGAGAAATAGGCTCATATTTTCATGGAGATCTATATAATCAGAATTGTTATTATTGCATTAAAGCACCCCAACTTTATCGCATCCTGTTCACTTTCCTATGCAAGCAAATGGTATGGAAACATATTCACTTTAGGTGGCCAAGTACATTTGTATCTTTGCTTCACTTCGAGTTCAAATCTGGTCGAAGCTGAATGTCATTCGCCTTTATTCACACGTATGACCTTGCCCTTATTGTGTATTTTACTCTTAATTGAATCATAATTTACTAAATCAATATCATGCTGTATTGTAAAAGAGTGACACTAATAAATAAAACCTGGAATAAATCAGGTCGCAGTATGCTCATCCTCTCATACACTTCTATACAATCTGACTTCTCTTTGAAAACAGATCAGTCGCCCTCTGCTGGATATTTAATGAACTTTTCAGACCTCGGGTTGGCGCCTGCATTTAAGAAACTTACTCAATAGCAATCGTACATTTAATAACATATATCAATGCCCATATCATCAGCATTCAATCCAAAAGGCTCATGTGAGTTCATGACTGTATTGGTGTGCGTGTTACCTCTACAGGAGTGTGTGAGGAGCAGATGGAAAACCAAAACACTGAGAGGTCTGAGTGGAAACTGAGAGGACAGTCTGTCAGCCTGGAGAAGCATCCTGCAGCTCTGAAAATAAACCAGTAAATACAGTGTATAAAAACATGATTTACATTTTCATCCTATTTAGTACCTAGTGTGGGTCAAAGTCCAGAAATGGCTCTTTCAAAAATAAAGGTATCTTTGTGATTCATCAGTCTGAAAGGCAGTGGAAATGCAGTTGTAGATAAGTAACATTTGCAACACAATACAAACAAGACAAAACAAATCAGAACAAACACAGTTGTGAAATTCAGAAGTGGATGTTTTAAAACTGCATCGGGTTAGACTTAGACCTTATAATAATTATAAATAGTATTTCTGTATGTATCTGTATACAGATTAAATCAGTTTTTGGGTCAAACATAGATGGATTTCCTTTGTCATACCCTGTACATTGAGGTCAGCGTTTCAGTTTTGCGTGTAAGGACACCGCTCCCAGATCAGAACTGAATGACATTTAAAACATTTGAACCAACACAAAGGCTATTAAAAGACATCTTGTATCTTCAACAAACCATTTTTGTGGCCTGTTTTCTAAAATATAAGTTAAAACATGTGTAACAAAAGAAATTCACAAGCTGACGTACCTGTTTCAAGATGTCTGAAAAGCTTTGACCTCAATAATTAAATATGGTATCACTATTTCATACTTTTCTGGACTTTGAGCCTGTTGCCACGTAACTTAGTATAAAGTATAGAGCTGCATTTAAACCTTAGGAGCAATAAACATGGTTCTTTGATTCCTTATCAACTTTGTAGAAGAGGAGTGTTTATGAGGCAGCTGTAACATCTGTTTTCTTGCTGCAGGGGGCAGAGCAGGACTTGTTTCTCAGGTCCACACTGATTGAAATCAAACAGCTTAATTAGGGCCCGAGCACCAGAGTGAGAGGAAACCTATCGTTATTAGCCGCGTTCACACCAAGTACTTTGCCGTACTCAGTGCCGGCACTCAGTGCACCGGCACTTATTACCCCAGGGCACTTAGTACAGATCGCGTTCACACCGGAATAAATTCCCTGAGGGAAGATTACGCAAATGAGCCGCTGACGTCACTTCGTCTTCTTCTGCTTTGGGTTTACTGGCAGGCCGCAAACAACTTCACGGCGTATACTGCCACCCGGAGTCCCCGGCCGGAAGTCCCCGGCCGGAAGTCCCCGGAGTTGGGGAAGGCTTCAGTAGACGCTGCTGGGACTCCCAGCAGCGTCTACTGAAGCCTTCCGAGTAAATCGCCAGAACGCCGACACCTCCTCATCACCACCGCTCCCATGTTTTATTTTGTGTTGCCATAAGTTAGTCTCTCTGCGTTTGTGCGCTGGGCTAATGCTAATGCTAATAATGCTAATGCGAGGATAATAAAAAGGCGGCTCGACAAAACATTTCAGAGTTTTAGGGGGCGTGGTTTGCAATTCGCCCAGCCAATCAGAACTGGGGCACTTTTTTCCCCCAGGAAAGTACCATCTCTCAGCAGGCACTAAACATGGGGGTAAATGTTCCCGGGATTAAGTGCTCTTTTTGGTGTGAACGCGACATAAGGGGTACTAACGGAACTAAACGCGAAAAGTACGGTGAAAAGTACTCCGGTGTGAACGCGCCTAATGAAGAGATTATTAGTATTGATATTATTATTATTCTTACGCGAGAACGCCTTTTTGAGGCCCTGCCCATGGTTGGATCTGTCTATAATTTGACACAGATTTAGGCTCTGGCGAAAATCGCGACATTCTGCAGTGAATGGGTTAACAGTTGCCCCCTTGCTCGCTAGCGCCACCTATGAAAATCACATTTTTGAAATCTTACCAAGCGCGCACTCCAAGTCCGATTGACCAGACATTTTGCATACATCTCCGGCTCAGCTTGCTCTCCAAAAAAGCCTCAAGAAGCTCTAAGCTCTGCCTACTTCGATGTTTTGCTAATTAGCATCATGTGAAAAACACAAAAATATTTACTTTAATTTTGAATGTTGAGTCTATCAACACCACATTTGTTATACATCATTGGCGGAGGGTCAGACATGTTTCCGTAAAAAATTAGCAAGGTCAGTCGGAAAACATGGCCGCCGTTAATCAACACGTCTTCGCACAAAGGCGGGGCCTGGAAATAAATGCTGATAACTCATCAACGATTTATCCAATTATCACACATTTTAATGAATATGTTCAGTCTGTCTTGGACAATAGGCATACAAAAGCATTTTCATCTTGAACCATAGGGGGCGCCAAAAACTCTACAAATGTATTACTCAAAAACGGATGGACCAAATTTTACAAAACTTGATACGTTTGCTATCAGTGTAAGAGTAGCTTTTACATGTTCATCATTTAACTGTAATATGTATTTTCTAAGTCTGATAATAATAATTTGTTGTAATATTTCATGTGTGCAATATTTAGAGTCTTTTATTTTGAAGTGCAAGCTCACGTCTCGTTATGCTGTTCTCGCGTGAGTTAGAGAGCGAGAGAGAGACAAGAAACTGAGAGTAAGATGCACGGATACTTTTACAGCTCTGTTAGTTTAAGTTTATTCTTATAAAGTTGTAAGGACTGAATAATACTTCCCTCTGTTTTCAGAGCATGCAGCCAACGAGGTATGTTGTTGTGTTTGTATTTATTTTACGTTTATTACTTTGCTAAAGTTATCTCACATGCTGTGCAATACTTTGTTTGTCATTTATACTGTTTGTTTATGTGTAGTTTTCACGGTGGATTCGAAGAGGAATAAACCCGTTATGAGAAAGCCACTTGTGTCTGCCTGTGCTTCGAGGGAATTACACTCAGGTCGAGCATTTACTGTATTCTGCCAGGTCATAAAGTTTGAGGAATGTGGGCGTGGCTTATGATGCATTCAATTAGTTTGTTCAATTTAGAATTGGTGACTGTTCAGAAACACGTCACAATCCATGACCTTGTGGAGAATGTATAACAAAATGCATTTGTGGTAAAAATAGCTCAGTAGCGCCCCTTAATGTGTGGTAGTCACATAGAATTTCTCCGATATTCACAACATTTTACACACACATTGCTTATGTCATTGTGGACATATTACTCATTGGCTTTCTTTAGCCCCGCCCCTCAGGAAGTGGCCATTCTGAAAAAGTACCTTACATTAGGCCTGCCTGTCATTACCCGATCTGCCCCCCTGCCCGATCTGCACTGCGCATGTGCGAGATGAGATACAACGTGACTTCACTATTATTTAACAACTGTTTTTATTGGGTTCTTTTATTTGGGGTTAAGTACATTGTCAGAATAAGTGAGAAATGGATTTAACTTCTGTTAGACAGCTATATGCCATACATCTTTGCATACATTCACAGTAAATATGTATTCAGTATGATAGCTGTCTAACAGAAGTTACAGTAAATCCATTTCTCACTTATTCTGACAATGTACTTAACCCCAAATAAAAGAACCCAATAAAAAGAGTTGTTAAATAATAGTGAAGTCACGTTGTAATAACAATAACTCATCTCTCTCGGTTTTTTTTGTTTTCTTTGTGTGCTTTGCCAAATGCCACTGTGTCAAGTGTCCTAGTCAACCCGGTATCACGGCAAGACGTGAACATGTGGCGATCTACCATGCTGGGAGACGTGAATATGTCACGGTTTCGTCCCTTCAAACGTGACAGTTACACGGTATTGTTAACATGGCCCAACCAGTGGAGAAATACCCGGAAGTGCCTAGCAAATGGTCTACCGCGCCTATTGGTCGGTTTTTATTGTCAAAATTAGATGTTTTTAATTTATTTTTTAATCGTCACACTCGATTTCGACGATTTTCTTGTTGCCCTAGCTGGTCGACACCTCTTTTAGCAGAAACAAAGGCTACATTAATGTATTAAATCGATGTTAATCCATGTGTGTGGAGGTGAGGATGTGGAATTAACGGACGTGACGTTGTGCGATTGCGTTGCCAGGCAACGCAATTTACAAACTCTTCAACTACAACCCTAATTATATTTAAAAACATTTTAGAAGGCCTCACGAAATACTTTAATGTAAATTAAAATGTAAATGGGAAGGAATGTGTGTAATGTGGTGATTGACATTATTCACCCACGGATCTATGGGTTGGGGGTATTGTTCCGCACGGACATTTTAGTTAACTGGACTCCTGTTGATGTGAAATCCGAAAACATTTAAAAAAAAAAAAAAGAATACTTTATTCCGAGTTTGCTTGCTTTTCTCTTTGGAGGTCATCACATAACGGCATTGTAATACACGGTTCGGCTGCATTAAATATGACATATCTGTGAGTTTTACCTAGCACAATGAGCCTGGGGTGGTGGGAAGGGAGAACTGGGCCTCGGCATCGGCAGGAGTTGTAGTCGCCTATGAGTATTAGAATTTAGATGAACAAAGGCATAGAAAAACCCTGAAATATGTACTGACACAAAGCTACAACCCTCGATTTTGTAAGTAGTGGTAGTAAATACATACGTATATACAATATACAACAATACGCATAGTGCAATTAGCAGTACCAGTAATAAAATAACTGAATAAATAGTAGTAGAACCTTTATTTAGCCAGGAAAATCAATTAAGAACAAATTCTTATTACAATGATGACCTGACAGGAGGCAAAAGGCGTCCTGAGGGGATGGGGTTTGGGAGGAAAAAAATAAAAAGACAGACTCCGGGCCAGAGGTCGCGTTAACCGAATATTTTCCGTCTATGACGGAATTTTTCCAAGAATGACGGAAAAATCTGAAAGCAGTCCGTCATTTTGACAGATTAGAACACAACTCGGAACAGCGCCAAAATGTCCACCAGCGGCCCACATTATATTACATCCTTAGTGGCCAGGTCGACTGAGGGAGAATGTGTATAAATATATATAGATACATTTTCATAACAAAACAATGGGGTTGCTAGGCGCCGTTGCTAAGCGCCGCCCCTGCCTCGTTGTTTAACCGGCTTTAGCAATCGCAAAATGTCACGGCAGCTGAGTGCTCGAAGCTTTTTTAATAAGCCCAGTAATTGTGATGGTGTGGATAAACGAGGTGAAAAAAGAGGGATTGATGCAGTGGAGGATGAAGGACAAGCCAGTAAGACCAAAACTGACAACGTTCAGCCAGCAGCAGAGGGACAAGCAAGTGGCAAGGAGTTGAAGCGGGAGTACCGGGTTCAGTGGGAGCAAGAGTTTAAGTGGCTGAGGAGGGAAGATGGCAAAATGTTCTGCAACATCTGTAGAAAAGCTAAAATGAGTAACGGATTTGTCCGAGGGTGCACGACGATGCAGAAATCAGCGCTGAATGATCACAAAAGTAGCCATAGCCACATCGAAGCTTCAAGGGTGGTCAACCAGAGCGTGGCAATGGTAAAGCATGTGGAGAAATCGCAGGTTGCCTGTAACGAGGCATTAAAAACACAATTGAAGGTTGTGTTGCATATGGCAAACACAAACACCCCGAGCCACCTATATCCCAACCTAATACAGCTATTACAATCTGCTGGATGTCCAGACCTCAACAGTGCGCACACGTACACCCACCATGAGACAGTCAATCAGATGGAGGAGGCGATAGCAATGACCATATCCAGCACTATCGATGACCGCATCGCCAACAGTAAATACGTCGGGGTAATAGTAGATGAGACGACTAATATCACGGTTGAGAAAATGCTGATCACATACCTGACACTTCAGCATAAAGG